TGTGTGTGTGTGTGTGTGTGTGTGTGTGTGTATGGAGCTTAGAGCTTCACTTTTTTTCCTCTGCTGCAGAACTGGATGCTCTGGGAGATGAGTTACTGCTGGATGATGACAGCTCTTACTTAGATGAAGCCTCGTCTGTACCCTCCATTCCTGAAGGAATGCCCAGCGACACTAAAACCAATAAGGTACAGATTACATTGATAAAACTTTCAATGACAAAACCTTCATATTCATTATCATTCGTCATTATTTGTCTGTGATTTACTCAGTGCATATTTGTGTCTCTCAGGATGGCGTTCTGGTGGATGAGTTTGGTCTACCACAGATCCCTGCCACATAAGAATCTGTTCTCTGATCAGTGTTTTGTTTACAGCTGGTGGAGGAAGTTTTTCTTGTGCTGATGGTATTGAACATGTTGTGTTGTATTCATTGCCCAGTCTAGCACATAGCATTGTAACTTCAGTTTAATGTTTAACATGATCACATGAAGTGTGATTTTTCCAGGTTTATTTAGAATTTGGTCATGTAAACATGTTCGCCTGATTTTCATAACCCAGTAAATTCAGACGAGATTACAGTTTTTAGATATCCAAGTAAAACTCCTGGCATATCCCTTTATTAATCAAAATTTGGATCACCTACTTTCCATTATATCTGAACATACGTTTATAGTAATGCATGTCCAAACAAAAATAATTCTGGATGATATGAGATACAAACAGTTTGGGGAAAGTCGAGTTATTGAAGAAATGTATTTTTAGAGCATGGAGATTTTTTTTTTTCTCCAGAATAATTACATTAAAACATCTCATTACATATTAACTTATTAATTGTGTTAATTACATATAGACACATATAAACTCTTATTCTTAATATTAATTTTACATTTGCCAATTAATATTATTGTCTATGCTCTTGTTAAGATGGAGTGTGTCTTGCTTCACGCTGGACTCTGAAGCTTGTTGAAATGTTGACAGAATTGTTGACACTGATCAAGTATTTCAAGTCCATAGTTCTGAGTAGCATGAATGAAGAACCTGCGTGGAGCAGCCATCAACTAGTCCAAATATTGCTTGGATTATTAAAATGAACTGGTTTTCTTGATAACAAACTTTATTATTGGTTATACATCAAGATCTGAAATATTCTGAAACGTGAAATGCATCACTGGAGTCTGTAAGAGATGCAATAAATGGTGGTATTTGAAAACAGCGGAGCATTTTTGTGGAGCCATTAGGCTATTCATGCAGCAATAACACATTTCAGAAGAAAGACAGATTGAACAAGCGGTATTACACAGTCACATTTACAACATAAAAAAAACATTACATTTTCAGCGTTTTTTTTTTGCATTTACTTTGATCAAAACGTTTGTGTAGTCTTATTTGCAAAAAGCCCACTTTTTCCTGCGTATATGGTATTTTCCTAATTAAATGAATAATAATTGCTCTAAAATTACATTCTCAAAAAAAAAAAAAATTCACTCACCCCAGTTTTCTATTTAATATTGTTTTTTTTTATCCTTTCGAATTATTCTTTGTAAATACTATGATACAGAAGGACAGATTTTTTTTATTATGCAATTATGTACATATTAATACAAACATACATCTTGCAACAGTAATAGAAAAAATTGAAAAAGGGTATACGGTATACAGAGAAAAAAACAAGTGCATGTACATGGGTAAAAATAAATAAATAAATAAAACATTTAATTAACCAAATTAAAGTGACAAGAGTGCTTCATAGGTCTTTTTAGCTTTTCTGTTTCTAATATGCAAAGTAGTACCATATTGTTTAATTTCTTTTATAAAATGTTCACAATTTGGCTTAGATTTAGTCCATTTCTTTACATGAATATGATATTTTCCAAGTAAAATAATTGTGTAAAAAAAAAATGTTACTTTTAGAATTAATTGTATCTTGTTCATACAGAAGGACAGATGGATGAGGTGCAGCAAAGGGGCGTGACGTACGTACACACACACACACACACACGTCACTTCCGGTTCCATGTGCATACACTGAAGTTGTGAAGCGTTAGCTAATAGTGTGCTGAATCTGATATGGCGGAGAACACAATGGCAGTGACAGTTGCTTATGGTAAAGATAACTGACTACCTTTTTATATTTTAAAACATTAAGATGAATCGAAAATAAATGCAGTCGATATTTTTATTTAGGCTTTATACGGCACGACAGTGTTGAAGCTAGCTACCAGTATTTGAACATCCCTCTAACCCACAGACGTTTATTCCAATATTAGTTACATTCTGAGGCTAAGAATGTATATTTTGAGTTTCCAGGTTAATTGTAATCTAATTACGGTTAGTTAATGTGTAAATGTCAATGCTGGATTTGCAGATAACGGTGCCAGTTAGCTCTCTGAATCATTTTGAGTATTGAACATGTCTTCTTGTCTCAGGCTCAACCAAACACAACATCACCTTAACAGCACAGGATGGACATGAACCACTGTTAAAGGATTTGTGTGAAGCGCTGACAGAAGCCACAGGAGTACCAGTACCATCCCAGAAAGTCATATTTAAAGGTAACACAGTATACACTCTTCATGTGCTTCATGCGTTATATTTACTCAACTGTAAATGGCCACCTGTGTTTTCGGTATAAACTACAGAAATTATCATTAGTTGAACTCAACAGAATGATGCAGTGTTTGAAATAAAAGCATCGTTGTCTGTGCCAGTGCAACAGTAACATTGTATTGTTGATTGCAAGAATATCTGGATCGCTAGAATCGTAACATTATGTTGTTCTGGTTGTAGGGAAATCACTGAAGGAGATGGAGGAGCCTCTGTCCAGCTTTGGAATAAAGCAGGGTTGTAAACTGATGATGATTGGAAAGAGGGTAAAATGTGCCGTTCATTAATTCATACAGATAGAACTGTAATTATTTCTGAGTCTGACAAGCTGCTTTATTTTTACAGAACAGCCCGGAGGAGGAAGCTGAACTTAAAAAGCTCAAAGACATTGAAAAGTCAGTGGAACAAACCGCCAAGAAGCTTGAGAAGGTGGATGGTGAACTCACAGGACTGAAGAATGTATGTGTAACATGGATAAAAATCTCTTTATTCCTCTTCTTGAACACTGTACTTATGTATTTGGCAATATGGTAATTTCATAATTTAATGGATTATTTACAGGGTTTTCTTGCAAAAGAATTGCAAGCCGAGGCTCTTAACAAACTGGACCACAGGGTGAAAGTTGCCTCTGAGCAGTTCATGAAAATCCTAGAGGAAATAGATGGAATGGTAATTGTTTTTCGTTGTTGTTATATTGTTTCTTAAAGTAGGCATGAAATGAAAATTCACCTTACCTATTTTATAAATGCATTTTTACACTCGGATGTACGACACAACAAGGAAGAAAATATTTTGCTGCTTCCATTGCTCAGTAAAGCTTATTTGTGCCTCTTTATATTGATTACTTTCAGAGCTTGCCAGAGAGTTTTAGTGATTGCAGGATGAAGAAAAAAGGACTTGCGAAAACTGTTCAGGTACCATTATGACTTATTAAAGGAATAGTTAACACAAAAATGTTAATTTGCTGACCCTAAGGCCATCTGAGATGGAGATGAGTTTGTTCACTTGCAATAGATCATCTGGATTGAATGAGAGTCCAAACAGCTGATAAAAACATCACAATAATCCACAAGCAATCCACATGACTCCAGTCCATCAATTAACATCTTGTGAAGTGAAAAGGTGCATGTTTGTAAGAAACAAATCAATTATTAAGATGTTTTAACTTTCAACTGTCACTGGCCAAAATACCAGTCCATAATCCATCCAGTGAAAAAGTCCATCCCCTGTTGTCTTCTCACATCAAAATCAACCAACATATTTGTTTTGGACTGTTTTCACTTGTAAGCAATGCTTGATCTGTGCATATTTTTCTTCTGATTAAGACTAGATGAATTTTTCACTGGAGAATGTTAGCAGAAAGCAACGGTTTGAAGTTGAAAACATCACAAAATGCTAATTGATGGGACTGGAGTTGTGTGAATGATTGTGATGTTTTTATTAGCTGTTTGGACTCTCATTCTGACGGCACCCATTCACTGCAGAAGATCCATTGGTGAGCAGGTGATGTAATGCTAAATTTACCCAAAACTGTTCCGATGAAGAATCAAACCCATTTATGTTATTGGATGTAAATATTAATGGGTGAACTATTCCTTTAATATTGGGTTTTAATTAAGCACCTTAGACTTTAACATACCCATGACCATTATTTGATTTCATATGTTAAATATTGTTTTCTTTATTTTCCTCATGCTCAGGGGTTCTTGGCTCAGTGTGACAAAATTGAAGCTGGAATATCAGATCACTTGGCTAAGATTCAGACAAAAAACTTAGCCTTAGCAGAATGATCATGAAGTAAGACTCCTGACATCAGTAGTTACTGGTGCTGCAAATGAAGAACCTCACTGAGAGCTTTGGCACTGGAGGTGGTCCTGCAGTTCACCTACACCCCACAACCTACACATGCACCTGTCATGCAGAGAACAACAGGCAGCATTCGAAACATTTTGAAATCGTTTTCTTATGAGTTTAGATTTTTCATGCTAATTTTTGGAAATACTTATGGCTAGGTTTGAGATTTGACCATCTGGACCACAATGTTCTCTCTTTAAACTTTGTTATCTAGCCTGACAGATGTTGGATTTATAGTCTTATTTCGATCAAAGAGAAAAAAACGGTGCTGGAAGAATATCCTTGTAAAGGCTCTAACATAAATAAATGATCTAATACAATAAATCAGTTTTGCGCAGTAAAACTTTTGGATAGAAAAAGTTATATGTATGAAATGAGTGAACTTGTGCGAAGCAAAAGATTTCAGAATTGATAGTCCTTGTTTTGTTTTTATTATGATTAAATCTCAGGGTGCTTCAAACCTCTGGTGGTTTTCCCCATCAATTTCGGTCTCAAATGCTGTTGTGAAGTTATTGAGAGAAATTAAACATTTGAAGACAACTTTTGTGTCATCTCGGTAAATCTTTGGCAATTTGTCCTGTTCTGTAAAATCCTGTATCTACTAGGTTTTAATGATATTATTTATTAAAATGCTAAAATCCTGTTTTTTTTTTTATGGTAAAAAATGTTGGAAGAAACTTTAAACTGACTTTTTTTTTTCTTCATAAAATGTCCCTAGTTCTGTAATGAAAATTTGTTGACTTGACTTATTTCAAATGGTTTATTGCAAAGTGTAAATATCCAGCAACTCCAGACTACATTGAATAATTCCGGAATTTATTTCTCAACATTTACATACCAGAACAGCATTCATTCACTTTGAGGTTTACCACAGATTACATGTCTATTTATTTCATAGTTATGTACAAGTCTCCTTAGACTGTTTAAGAGAAGGTCCAGTAGAGTCAAATGATTTTGCCTTGCTGATGAATGTATCCCTTTGCACTAGCCCATGAATGTGGGGAAAAGAAGACAATTAAACATGTTGTAGTGTTACAGTGTAGTTTTCAGTAGTGTTTGACCTTGTCCTAATCATCCTTATCTTTAGCACCGTGTTTCAGGATGCGTGTGAATTCTACGTAGTTGAAGTTTCCTTTCTTGTCAATAGGGGCCTCTCTAAACAGCTCGTCTACTTCTTCGTCTGTGAACCTGTCTCCCATAGTGGTCAAGAGCTCCCTCAGGTAGTCCTCCTGAATAAAACCTAGGACAAATGAGGCAACCTGATTATTAATAACTGAACAAATGTTTATCAAAAACAGCATATATTCCTCTAATTTTGGACTTCAGACTAATACAGATCACCAGGGTTACTTGCTATTTTATTTCAGTGGTTTGTTCATGCTTACCCGTCCCCTCCTCATCAAAACAAGCAAATGCGTTTTTGATAACATCCTCAGGATCTGTGCCATTAAGCTTCTCTCCAAACATTGTGAGGAACATGGTGAAGTTAATGGGACCAGGGGCTTCATTCATCATCGCCTCGAGGTATTCATCTGTGGGGTTCTTACCTAACAATGAAATAAAATGTTGTCAGTCAAAAGCAGTTTGTATTTGATTAAATGTAGCTTTTAAAGAGACAGTTCACCCAAAAATGAAAATTCCAAACCTGTATCAGTTTCTTCTGCTGAGCACAAAAGATGATATTTTGAAGAATGTTGGTAACTAAACATTTTAGTGCTGTCAAACGATTAATCGCATTAAAAATAAACGTTTTTGTTTACATAGTGTACTGTGTATATTTATGTATATACACAAATACACACACATGCATGTATATATTTAAGAAAAATGTGTTATGTTTATGTTAAATATATTTATAAATTATATGAATATACATATATGCATGTAAATATT